GTCAGAAACTAGAGTGTGTGTGTCTACTCTTGAAGACTAGTTAATGATGGATCATACCCACACCATCCAGGGTTTTTTCCTGGTTAAGTACTACATGGTCATTGTAAAAAATTATAAAACTAGAGTGTGTGTGTCTACTCTTGAAGACTAGTTAATGATGGATCATACCCACACCATCCAGGGTTTTTTCCTGGTTAAGTACTGCATGGTCATTGTAAAAAATTATACAATGTGGTTTGCACATTTTGTAGTGTGTAACTAGATCTTTTTTGTGTCCTAAGATAATTTTTGTAAATCTGGTTTACTTACTTGGGTTTTTTGCTTGTTTGTTTATCTCACTATGTAGCCTGACTGGACTAGAACTTGCTGGGTAGAATAGGTTGAGCTTGAATTTACAGTCACCACCCTGCCTCTGTCCCCTGAGTGCTGGGATGACAAGGTGTGCACCACCACATCCATCTTTTTTTTTTTTTTTTTTTTTTGGTTTTTATGAGACAGGGTTTCTCTGTATTGTTTTGGAGGCTGTCGGTCCAGCCCAGCCTCGAACTCACAGAGATCCGCCTGCCTCTGCCTCCTGAGTGCTGGGATTAAAGGCGTGTGCCACCACCGCCCGGCTCACCACATCCATCTTGAAAGTCTCATTTTAAGGGTCACATAATGTACCATTCCAAAGAGCCACTGTCATGTCTATGCTGTGGGATATTACTTCAACTGAACAAAGCTGTGTTACATATGTTTACGCTGTGGAACATTACTTTAACTGTGTGAAGGTGTGTTACATTTGTTTCCGGCTGCCTCTGTAAACAATGTAAGGATGTCTTACATGTGTTTGTGCTGCAATTGTTTCATTGTGTAAACATTGTTTCACCTCGCCTGCCTAGAGCACCTGATGGGTCTAATAAAAAGCTGAGGGCTAGGCAGGGCTGGTGGGCAGACAGAATAAAGACGAGGAGTCTAAGCTCAGAGAAGACGTGAACAATGGAGAAAGAGAGGGAGACAGCCAGCCAGACATGAGAAGCAATGAAAGCAAGAAGTACTGAAGCAAAGAAAGATTTAAAAAACCCTAAGGCAAAACACAGATGAAGAGAAACAGGTTAAGTTGTAAGGGTTAGCAAGAAAGTGAAGGCTGAGTGCTCATATGTATTAAGTCTCCGTGTCATGATTTGCTGACCTCAAAGAAAAGCCTGCTACATCCACTTGGGCATGTTTCCTTTTTTATGATTTTAGGTGAGTACAATGAGGAATTAGAACATTCACCTTCATCTGGGTTTCTGGTAATGAAGTAGAGAAATTGGTTCTGCAAGCCTAGCCTTTTCATCTGGCTTTTCTGGAGAGCATAATTCCAGAATAGCTCGTTCTGAGTTAAAGAGCAAGTCGTTTAACTTAAAGACAAGCAGGGGCTGGGGAGATGGCTCAGACAGTGAAGGCTCTTGCCTTGAAAGCCTGGTGACAGGTTCCACGGAGAGAGAACTTCACAGAGTTGTCCTTTGACGCTCACGTGCACCCTGGGCACACACAATAACACACACTAACAGTAAATAAAACACACACACCGTTGAAGGTCTGGTGATGCCAAGCGGCTGTTTTCTGTGACTGCCTTTGTGCAGAAGACAAAACAGTGACCAATGTTTGTCTTGAACGGAAAGTCAGCACCAAACAAAACAGATAAGTGTCTCCAGTGTCTGGCTTTCGCTCCTAGCCCTGCCCTTGAGCAAGTCTGGTTCATTCTATTGGCCTTGACTGTGTGTGATGTAACTAATTTTTAAACACTCTACATCTGTTTTTGCCACCCATAAAATAGAGACATACCAGGCCCACCTACACCTGAGAGACACCCTAGGGAGACTCAAAATGTGTTCGAACCTCAACATTCAATCAATCATAAACTACCGTTTTTGGAGCTTGCCAGAAGCTAGAGTGGAATTAACAATACAAAATACGTAGACAGCATCTTTTTGCTATAGCGCAAACCAACAGTATATTTTTAAAATCCAGTGCAGTAGATGGTCTAGAATTTCCCAAGTGTATGTGGGCTCAGAAGTTTTAATTTCTATTACATGTATTGATAGCCAAATTGCATTGTAAAGTTGTATGTGCCCATACTTCAGCAATACAATGTTATAGTTCGATTTTACATAGCCTGTAAAGTCTGTATCCTGGTTTGGTTTCTTTTGCCGTGATAAGACGCCAAACAAGCCTGGCGGCAGGGATGGCCCCACCTTTAATCTCATCACTCAGGAGGCGGAAGCAGGAAGATCTCTGAGTCTGAGGCCAGCCTGGTCTACAGAGTGAGTTCTGGGACACACACACACACACACACACACACACACACACACACACACGGCAGGGAACAACAGTGGTGGAAGGAAAGGGTTTATTTCTGTTTTCATTTCCAAGTAACAGTTCATCACAGGGAAAAGGGGCTCCCTGCAGAGACACTGCTTGCTGGCTTGCTCTCCAAGGCTTGCTCAACCTGCTTTCACACACAGCCAAGGACCTCCAGCTATTGGATGGGCCCGCCCACATCAATCATTAACCCAGAAAATGACCCACAGGCTTGCCTGCAGGACAATTTAAGAGGGGCAGTTTCTCAGCTGAGGTGCTGCCTCCTTCCCAGGTGTCTCTAGTTTGTGTCAAGCTGACAAAGACTAGCCGGCACCGCCTCTGAAGGCAGTGGGTTGGTTTCCTTTGCATTTTAACCCTTCCTGTATCTTGGGATATAAAACAGCTACCTACACACGAGAGGCTTAGTAAGGTGTGCCTGGTGGTGAATCTGCTTCTCATTAGACTTGTGTAGCATGAAAAATAAAATACCCAGAGGGTGATATTGGGGTTCAAGATTCAAGCTGAAGATCAGAAAAGCAAAGCAGCCGGCCACCGGCTCTGACCTCTACCTCAACTCAGATCAAAAGGGCGATCTTCAAACTGCCCCCGACTTCACTGCTCCTCAGATTCTCTCAGACTGCTATGTTCTCCTCAACGTGGCTAGACACTCAATCTCAGACTGAAGGCCTTACCGTTTATACCTCTCAAATCCTGGGATTAAAGGCCTTAGCTCTGATTCACTCTCCGGTAGCCCAGGATGTTCTTGGACTCAGAGATCCAGCTGCCTTCTCCTGAGTCCTGGGACTAAAGGTGTCAGCTTGGGACTGACTTTGCTTTCTGAATCCTCAGACAAGCTTTAATAAATAATAAATCACCACAGACTTATCTAAAAATAACCTCTAAAAAGAACGTGGAGCAGTGGAGTAAATCAAAGGTATTCACACACACCAGTGAGAGCGTGAACTCATGAGAAATACCCTTCTCACATTCCCGTGTGCTCAAGCTCACTTGCCAAGCTATGCAGTTTTGAAATTCCATACAAGTTTCCCAACATATGAGAAAAAGTATGTTTAAAGACACCCAGGAGCTGTAGAATTCTTAAATGGGCAAAATAAGTATAAACCATGTGAACTATGTTGGAAAGTCATACAACCATTAAGTTACAGAATCAAAATGGATTATCCTGCAGCTATGGACACACACATAGAAACTGACACCACTTAGAAATTTGCGTATACAAAGTGTATTGGTGAGTCTGGAGAGATGCCTCAGTGGTTAAGGGCACTGTCTGCTCCTGCAGAAGACCCGACCCTGTTCAGTCCCCAGCACCCACAGGGCAGCTCACAGCCGCCTCTAACTCCAACACCCTTTTCTGACCTCTCAGATAATATGCACACGCATACATGGCACACAAACATATATGCAGGCAAATACTCACATAAAATAATTCTTTAAAGACTGTATTCACTACACATATATAATTCTATATCCATTTTCCCCTCATATTAAGGGGAAAGACAAGACAGTAAAGTATATATAGATTGTCGATCTCTGTATGAAAAGCACAAACACAAAACGAAGAATTCTGTCAACTGTGTATTCAACATAAGTGCTAACATAAATAAATATGTTACATTTCCTAACATAGTGTAAGGCAGGTTACTGCATTACTATAACAACAATTTTATAGCTAAGAAAATTGAGACACAAAAAAATTATGTGATTAGGCCAAGGTCACAAAACTATTAAGATTCAAGCCAGGGCAGTCTGCAGCCTAAAAACATTTTGGTAAACAGTTCACCATGATACTGCCTCTGGGTGGTAGAAAATATCCCTCCATTTAAAAAAAAGAATGAAGAAAATACTGTACCCTAAGGGACAAATCAACTAAATGTATTCCTATAGTAAATCTGAGCAGAAAGCTTTATTTATTTATTTATTTATTTATTTATTTATTTATTTATTTATTACGCACACAGTGTTCTGCCTGCATGTATCCCTGCAGGCCAGAAGAGGGCACCAGGTCTCATTGCAGATGGTTGTGAGCCACCATGTGGGTGCAGGGAATTGAACTCAGGACCTCTGGAAGAGCAGCCAGTGCTCTAAGAGCTTTTTTTTTCTTTCTTTCTTTCTTTTTTTCTTTTCTTTTTTCCAGTTGTATTGGTGCTTGCTCTGGCCTTTAACTTTTGCGTCATCCTTGATTAAAACCCGATTCCAGTTCTGAAAAGCACACACCGTCAAAAATCTAACAGGTCCCGGTTCTTGTAAGGAAGGAGGAGGGGAAGAGAGAGCTGCCAGGGAAGGCTCGCCTCAAGCCCCAGCCCCTGGGAGGCTCGCTCGCTTGTGGTTTTTGATTTGTTTAAGCAGAGCATGAAGGCAGCCTTGTGGCTGAAGCCCGCTCTGCCTGGGCCACGCCATGGGTGATGAGTGTGCAGAGCAATCGCTTCCCGGCCTTTTGGCTGAGATCAAGTGTGAGTGTGCCGAGAACCTCAAAGCCAATCCTAAACCAGAGAGCGCACGTCCACTCCACACTAGGACCCGCTCGGCCAGTCAATTTAAGATCTAATTTCCCAGATCTCGCTCGGGTTCAGGAGTCCAGCCGGACCCCCGCCGGCTGCTAGGGACTACAACTCCCAGCATGCACGAGGCCTCCACACATGCGCCCTGGCACCCGACGAGCCCATTTCCCAGGAAGCCGAGCGGCCACGCCGGAGCGCGCGCGTGCGCTCTGGCGCCTCTGGGTCCCCCGCTTGGCTTTGACCTCCCTCCGCCCGGGGAAAGATGGCCGCCCCAGCCGCGTCCGGGCTGTCCCGACAGGTAGGAGAAGCCGGCTGCGGGCTCCTCCTCGGGCGGCCGGCCCCGGGCTCCCGGCGCCCGTGCGAGCCGGTGGCTGAGGGCTCAGGCCGCCCACCGAGGGTCGCGGAGCGCGGCGGCGTGGGCCGGGTTGCGCTGTCGTGACCTTGGCATCCGGGGGGTCACCGCGCAGGGGAGCCGCGGGCAGGGCCTGCGACCGGGAGGGAGGACGCGTCGGCCCGGGGGCTCGGCCGTTGCGCGCGCTGGCGGCGAGGCGGAACCCGGGTGGGAGGTGGAAAGGGCGAGCCCCCCACACCCCGCCGTGATGCTCGCCCAGGGCCCGCGCCCGGGGCTGCAAGTGTGGATGTGAGCACCTGTGCCCCGGCGAGCCGCTGTCCCAGCCGTGGGGCCCGGGCTTCTCCCGTTAAGTTCCGGTGCCACGGCCAGGTCATCAGAGTCAGTCTTTGGTCGTAGAGAGCGTTTCAAGGCCCCAAGCGAGTGCGTTCGCTTGAATCGTGACTGCAACCCTCTCTCCCACTTTGGTTAAAATTTCTCTCACCGGTAATAGATTTATTATTATCATTATTATCATTAAATTTCAGGAAGTTAGCGTTTTGTCTCTCAACCGTCCAGCGGGGAAGGGGGTGGGAAAGTCAGTTTCCAGAGCGGTTTGGACGCAGCTAATCGTTTAGATTATTTTAGCATATTGCTAAGCTAACGCGGAAGTCCTCCCCTTTACCCCGTTTGACCTCTTTGCTTTTGTTCGGAAGGTGCGGAGCTTCAGCACATCCGTGGTCAGGCCCTTCGCCAAGCTCGTGAGGGTATGTTGACTTAACGTTCTTTCGTGGATGAAGAGTGTGCGTTAAACAGAATGCAGTTAGGTGTGTGACTACTGACCCTTTTTCTGCAAGATTAGCAGTTTCCAAATGAGTGCCTGCGATAGGATAGGAGGGATGGGCGCATCCCTGACCTTCATGTTTTAAAAGCTGTCTGTTCGGGGCCAGCAGCAGGACTCCTCCGGTAAAGGCTCCTGGTGGCAAGCCTGAGATTCAAAGTTCAACCCCTGGAACCCGTGTGGTGGAAGGAAGGGCCCTGCAGATTGTCTGCCGTCCGTCGTGTGTGTGTGTGTGTGTGTGTGTGTGTGTGTGTGTGTGTGTGTGTGTGTAAGAGTTCTAAGTTGTCTTCCCTAGTACCCCTCCGTAGACAAGCCCTTCACCAACAGTCTCACCTGCCAGCCCCTTTCCTTTCAAGCCAGCAGTGTGGCTGATGCAGACAACTCCAACCCCGTTACCCAGTACGGATTGAAGCATGGCTGAATGTAATCGTTCATCGCTGGTTCCTGTAGGGCGGGCAGACTCTGCTTAGCTCTCTTAGCTTGCAGGTCTTAAGTTATAATGGCTGTCATTTGTCCTCCAGCACCCAGTCCAGCCCAGCTCGCCTTGGGAAATAGCGGAACCGAAGGCACTGGGATACATTAGGTGGGGCTTACACGCCCCACCCGTCCCAACAGCGCCAAATTCCTTAAGACCTCTGTGAATGGAGCCGTTTTATCCTTCCTCAGACCTTCCTAAAACACCATACCCGTGATGGGGGAGCGTGCACTTACGCACGTCATTGCAGCGCTCTCCTGCTTCCTTGTCTTCAGAACTGTTCGCTGTTAGTGCCCGGCCGCTCCGTGCTTAGAGGCCGCCTTGTTCCTGAGTGCAAGAAAGCAAAAGCGCGTTGCAACAGTTCAGGCAGGTCGGGGTGGAAGGGACACGGGATGCCGTGTCCTCTCTGCTCCCGCAGAGGTGGAAGGTCCCGGCCGAGATGTCCCTAGCGTGCTGACTCGTTTAGGGCTGCTCCTCGGTGAGGTGTTGAAATGGTTTGGCAGATGGGGAGTGCGGTCTGTGGGTCATGGCTGACTCTGCCCCTGACTTAGCCATCTTTCTCTTTTCCTGTCTCCCACTTTCTGTCGGCAGCCGCCCGTGCAGATCTACGGCATCGAGGGTCGCTATGCCACTGCGCTCTACTCTGCGGCAGCCAAGCAAAACAAGCTGGACCAGGTGGAAAAGGAGCTGCAGCGCGTGGGGGTGAGTGTCCGTCTGTCTGTCCGCTCCTGTCCCACAGTCCCCCTCAGATACAGGCTGCGCGTCCCTGAGGGGATAACCCGTGGAAAGAACCGCCAGAAACTCAAAAGAAATTACTGTAGACATGACATTTAATAATAAGACGACTCAGCCGGGCGTTGATGGCGCATGCCTTTAATCCCAGCACTCGGGAGGCAGAGGCAGGCGGATCTCTGTGAGTTCGAGACCAGCCTGGTCTACAAGAGTGTGTTCCAGGACAGCCTCCAAAGCCACAGAGAAACCCTGTCTCGAAAAACCAAAAAAAAAAATAATAATAATAAGACGACTTTATTATCTGAAACAAGTGTGTGTACAGGCTAGGATACACGTAAACATGTTAACATCATGAACCCAAGCTTTCCAGTGGTATAGTCTGAGAGAACGCTTGGTTTTAGAAGGTCAAGTTGATGTTTGTAACCTAGAATAATCAAATGTCTTTTGAGTATATTTTCACTTTACTAAAATTATATTTCTTCATGAAAGTTTCTTCAGAAACCTTTCCTGGGTTTAAACTTTTTTTTAATCACATTCCTTATTAGTTGGGAATTGGACAATGTTGGACGTTGGCAGTGCGAGTGTAGAGGTTGGAGTCCTTTCCCTCTGCCTGTGAGCTCTGGGGCTCACACTCAGGTCAGCAGCTTTGGCAGCAAGTGCCTTTGCCCTTCCCTGGAGCTTGGAATTACTTCATCCCCAAGATGGGGAGGAAAAATGGCTGAGCGGAGGATGCTGGGTAATCAGGTCCGGCCTAGGTATCAGCCTCAGAATGACACAGAACTGGTAGGCCCAAGGCCACCTGGAAAAGGAAATTTCTCTGTGCGTTTTGTTGTAAAAGGCAAAGAAAAGAGGGAAATCGCCTTGTGAGTTAGCACAAGCCAAATGCCACTCAGCTGGGAGACTCCGCCCCCGCTGCTCTGGGGTGGCTGCCACTCTGGGGGAGGGCTCCCTTAGAAGAGCTAGGCGACTCCAGAGAAGCAGCGTTGGATGCCCCTAAGGATAGTGTGTGTTTTCTGGTCCACCTCTGAAGAAAGAACAGCCCAGCTGCGCGGGCCAGCACGGTGTTCTGATAGACCACAGCACGGGAGCTGCTCGGCTCGTTCACTTCCCTTACTGCTCCTAAAATACGCACCCGTCCTCCCTCCTCCCTGCGGACAACACTGAGGAGCTTGTCTGGGCCTGGCTTCCTGTGGGAGGCCCTGTGGGAGGCATTGACCAGCACATGCAGGCCCTGTGCTGGTGATGACTGCACGCGGTGGTCAGTTAAGCTCTCTTTGAGCCGTGCAGTCCTGTTCACCGTGAAGGCAATGGTGCTGGTGGCGGGCATTAGAATGGGCTTGGACAGACAAGATGCATCCTTGGGCAAGGATGCTTGTCACCAAGCGTTACTACCAGGGTTTATTTTCTGGGACCTACATGGCGGAAGGAGAGAGCCAACGCTGGCCAGGTTGTTCTTTGACCTGTACACACTCACCATGGCATAGTCTCTGTGTGTCTGTCTCTCCCTCTCCTCCTCCCTCTCCTCTCTCATTTTGTTTTTTTACAATCCAGAAGTCAGTCCTAGAGAAGGAGATAGTTATCTGTGGTTCTATATTGAGGAGATTTGGGGTGGGGTGGGGGGCTATGGTAAGAGATGTCACCTTAAATATCTACTGGATTTTGCTAGCTGAAGGTGGGTAGCCCTAACCCCAGGGACATATTTGTAAAGGCCTTTCTTTCTGTGTGGCTACTCAAGCGGAAATCCTAGCGTGAAGCCTGCACTGCGTGGCAGTGGACTGAGTTCTGGCTAGGAGCCGATGGGGTGCCGGGGAGCCGCTGGCAGGCACGTGGAGATGTGTAGCTGGGAGGTGTCTGCCCAGGAAGGGCCATTGCGGCTCCTTGAACTCTGGCCTGATGCTGACCTAGGTCAGCAGATGCTGGGCTACAGGTCCTTACTAAAGTCAGACTTGTGATTTAAAAAAAAAAAAAATGGGGCTAAAATGGATTCCCAGCATTGTAGTGGTTTTGTTCTCTCTCCCCCCCAGGCCAGAATCTCACAGTTGGGTTTGTCTGGTCCTCTAAAGAGAGGGCACAGTCAGGGTTTCCTGAGACGGGTCTCTGTAGTGACCGGTGGTATGCTGAGGCAAACAGGGCTCGCTACGTCACACACAGTAGGATAGATGGTGAGGCTGTGGCTGCTTGATGTCTTACGATTCCTTAGAGATACTTGTAAGAAGCTTCAAGGTATTTTTAAAGATGTCTTTAACCCTGTGTAAAGTCATGAACATAAAGTGTGTAGCGCTGGAATCTGTGCCCTTTCAGCAACTCCTGAAGGACCCCAAGGTGTCTCTTGCCGTCCTGAATCCCTACATCAAGCGCTCCATCAAAGTGAAAAGCCTGAGTGACATCACAGCCAAGGAGAAGTTTTCTCCGCTGACGGCCAACCTCATGAGTGAGTGTGGGGAGTGGGGGGGGAAGAGCTCGGTGCCCCAGGAAGTCAAGAGAGGGCATCAGGTCCCCTAGAACTAACTTGTGGGTGCTTGTGAGCCAAAGTGTGGGTGCTGGGAACTGAGTCTGGGTTCTCCGCAGGAGCAACACCCTGTGCTCAGAATCACTGAGCCATCGCCCCAGACCCCATTCATAGCCACAGCGGACTTTGAATCCGGCCTTTTCAGGCTGCAAGTTGACATTGTTTCCAGTATGATTGCATGAGTTTCCTGCCACTTCCCCAGATTTACTTGCTGAAAACGGTCGCCTAAGCAATACCCAGGGCGTCATCTCTGCGTTTTCCACCATCATGAGTGTCCACCGTGGAGAAGTGCCTTGCATGGTGACCACAGCGTCTGTAAGTGGCCCTCGCTGCTGCCCTGGGGACTAGCTTGTCACTGGGGGCTTTCTGTGAGCCTCTGTCTGTCTTCTTCCTGATCAGTCATGGGACCCCGGCTGCATTGAAGGGACATGGAAGTGATATGTGGAACAGTGATTTGGGTCCTCTTATGGCCTGAATTCTTAAATGCCATATTGTTGTAGAATAGTACTGCTTCGCCTGTGCATTGGGTGCACAGACCCTGTGACCTGCTGGAATGCAATGCAGTAACTAGCCACCGTTTGTTGGCGCTGCTGTCTGCTGGGGACCTTGCCATCTGTCACTGCCCTCAGAAGATGGGTGTGAAGTGTGCTTGACCTTATTTTACAGTCAAGAAGCCGAACCCTAGGTTGGCTCAGGGTCCGAGCTCGGGGCTCTTTTTCTCGGAGGTCTACTCTGTATGCGTTATATTACCTTCCTGTGTAGCCCAGCCAAAACAGGCAGACTGGGTCGGTACGTAAACATGGGCAGATGTTGACTGCAGCCCCTGGCCTTGTTCACATCGTAGTTCGGTATTTGAGGCACCTGTGGACCTTGTGTGGCCAGGCCCCCTGTTCCCTGAACCAGCACACTGGAAGGTACATTGTGGTGGGGCTGCTCCCTAGTGCCCCCGACAGACAGACAGACAGACACACACACACACACATACACACATACACACAGAGAGAGAGAGAGAGAGAGAGAGAGAGAGAGAGAGAGAGAGAGAGAGAGAGAGAGAGAGAGAGAGAGAGAGAGAGAGAGAGAGAGGAGAGAGAGAGAGAGAGAGAGAGAGAGAGAGAGAGAGGAGAGAGAGAGAGAGAGAGAGAGAGAGAGAGAGAGAGAGATATCTTGGTGCATGGCTTCCCTCTCCCCTCTCCTTTAATTGATCCTGCTGTTGAACCATGTTTAAAGGGTGATCTTTCTTTTTCCTTTTCAGGCTTTAGATGAAGCTGTTCTCTCTGAGTTAAAAACAGTGCTGAAGAGCTTCCTGAGTCAAGGCCAAGTGTTGAAACTGGAGGTTAAGGTGGGTTTGGTCCCGTGCACTATCTGACTTGACGCTGGTGCCAGGCAGAACTTGGGCATGAGTGGCTCTGACCCTGCACCCTTCCTGCCTGTGTTATGGGTGGCCTGTCTGTCTCAGTGGGCCTCCTCAGAGTTTTTTATCTACCCACGTGATAAGAGAATCCCACGTTTTCACATTTGCAACCTGTTTTCTTTCCTAGACTGATCCATCAATCATGGGTGGGATGATTGTCCGAATTGGGGAGAAATACGCCGATATGTCCACAAAGGCCAAGATTCAGAAACTCAGCAAGGCCATGCGGGACTTGGTCTAAAGTCTGTGTCACCTGTGAGGGCTCTGCTCTGAGTCTGTCACCTATGCAGGCTCTGGAGCGACAATAAAACACTTGATAAACAGAGGGCGCCCAGTTCTTGTCCTTTAAGGAATTTGCGGTGCCATGGTCCCTCAGGCTCCTCCCTCCAGTCTCGAGGTTAGAAAGCCCGCCCTCTGGACTGAAGGATTTGGTGTGTGTGTGTGTTAATCTCAGGAATTCCTCGGGTAAATAGCACTGTACACATATACAGTCTGGTACTGCCTGCCAAATCTCAAGTCTTTGAGGAGTGGCTGAGAACTGGTCCCTGACCAGTCACGAAGAGGCCTCCCTGCCGATCCTTACACAAACCCTAGCCAGAGGATGCTTTGCCTTTCGGGGCTCAGGAAGTCCAGCAATCTTGTGATAGAGTAAAACAGGTACCCCGTTTGTTCAGGGTAACGTGGCTGAGCGGGGTGGTGGCAAGGCCCAGGGTCTCATACGCGTTCCCATGTCCCTTCTCACATTGTCCTTAAGATGCTCCGAGGCTGCTGGAGAAGCCAGAGCTCTTTGGATGACCTGTAGCCCCTCCTGGGCCATGCACGAGAATGCTTGCCTAACAGGCTGACTACTTCTCCAGAGTGCTCCTAGTGGAGTGAGGGCCTCAGGACGAGGGCAGGGACGGCCCGGGGCTCCACTAGCTGCATGTACGACCTTGTGTCCTCTGCCTGCCCACCGAGCCTACCAGGGAGTATGCAGCACTCAGTGCCCTCCCGGGAGCCAACACTAAGACAGCAGCTGCCTCTCAGTAGTTCTGACATGCTGGTAAGCCTGGACTGCAGTTAGAGACGGGTTGGCCAGCCTCCTTTGAGGTTCCTGACCACAAGCTGAGTCCTAGCAGAGGGAGAGGGGTGTGTCCGGGTTCCCTACACCGGCTGCAACCTGCACTGAATGGCGGGATCCAGAGCAGCCAGGCTGAGGGCAAAAGCAAGGTGATGCCAAAGGCACTGTCGCCCTGCCAAGTTTTCTCATTGAAGCCAAGGTCTTACACAGGGAAGAGAGAAGCTCTGTTCCTGTGAATGTGACCTCTCCATTCTCCGCCTTCCCAAGACGCATTGCCTGCCTTCCAGCATGCTCCTGAGGCCCGGGATAGCCTCACACACACTAGAGCTCCAAGGCTCACACGGTACCACTGATGCACACATTATCTCATCATCCCGATGAAGCACACAAGATAGCACACGGGCTTTGCCTCACGAGGTTGCCAGACGTGACCCCGAAGCCTTGCCTGAGATCATTTTGTGCTACAGAGTACAGTAGCCCGGAACTCTGTAGGTGAGGTTGGCCATGAGTCTGGGGCAGCCTTGAGTGTGCTCTGAAGTGCTGGGGTTCAGGCATGTGCCACCACACCCAGCTTTACAACGAAGCCCTTCCTAACCCTTCAAACAAAGCAGCCTGCTGTGGCTGGCGGCAGATCCTGTAACGCCAGCACTCCTGACTGAGGCAGGAAGACCGTGAATTCCGAGGCCAGCCTTGCGATACATATCAAACATTATCTCAAAAAGCAGAACAGAAACCTTAAATCCAGGACTCCGGAGGCAGAAGCAGGTGGATCTCTGAGTTCAAGGCCAGCGTGGACTACAGAGTGAGTTCCAAGACAGCCAAGGGTACCCAAAGAAACCCTGTCTCAAGAAAACAAAACAAAAAAGCAGAACAAAACATCAAAATGCAGGTGGAGTCATGGCTCTGGTGAAAAGCACAGGTCTTCCAGAAAGTTCTGAATTCAAATGCAGCACCCATGTCAGACAGCTCACAAACACTTGTACCTCCAAGAGATCCACACCTCGGCCTCTGCAGGCAAAGCACACCTGTGTAGACATACCTGCCCCCATATAATAAAAGATAATAGAAAGGTCTAAATTTTATATATATGGTCAGCCATTCGACTCTTAGGACAAATTAGGGTAAACGAAGGTATAGCCAAACAACCCTCAGAACCACACTGGAAGACTAGAGCTGATGAGAGAGAGCAAACAAGAATCGGAAGGTTCCTTTGAGTTGTGCAATTGAACATGGGCCAACGTGTGTTAACTGCATGAAGGGCATCTCAAGTTTAGCACTGAAGCCAGTTGCGCTTGCCTGAACATCATCAGTCTTAAGGCGTGAGGCAGGAGGATCCAGATACGGCCAACCGTACATAGCTACGTGTGACCTGTCCAAGAAGCAAAACCCACTCATGTACAAGGGTCTCTAGGGAGTGTCTTGTGGGTTTGTTTCTCCTGTTGGCTTGCTGGGTTTCTTGGGCGCACAGACCCACACCACACACACATTGTTGTCACAGTTTCACATGCTATACAATGTAGAATTTCTCGTGTTCTCAGGGGTGCTCAGCACGAGGAGTTTGTCTCACAGAACTAACTACCTGAGAGCACCAGAGTTAAAGGTGGTGGCGGCCATGTTCTTTAGATTTATTTTTACAACATTTTCCTTGTACAACTACAGCTTATCTCTGGGAAATAGACACAGGAAGAGACTTGTTTTCAGGGCTGTTAGCGTCCTGTGTGTCAGCAAAGAAGTGAAGGAAGAAAGCTCAATAATAATCTGAGGTAGTGGGGTTGGCTGTTCCTGTTTTATTATGAGCTATGTGATTTAAACCACACAGGTCAAAACGACCAGAGAATGAGGTGCACGGACCTGGAGATTCCTACTGATATTGCCACTGGCACAAAGGGGCAGACATTGCCCTGTTGCTGTAATATGAATCGATAAAACATTTCGCATGTAATAAGGGCCTGAAGGGTGTCCAGACATCAAAAACAAGACAAAAACAAACAAAAAAAACCTTCTTTTAAACAAATGGAAAAGCTTGTGTGACCCTGCTTCAGTAAACCTTACACAAATGTGGAATTCTATAACTTAATAATGTCTAATAATCTTCAGAACTCCATTAATGTTATAAAACAAACATAATTCTTTCGTGAAAAATACTGTTATTTAGCAACAAGTACACATTACAATGAACAGGACATCCATCAGGGGAGTGTCATAGCTCTCTCTGCCACTGGGCACGGCTATGGACGAGCTGTGGGCTCCCGGCATCGTGGCCCGCTCCAGGGATCAGAGGCTAACCACCAACACCGTGGGGAGGGCCCGCCTTCTCGAGTCTACCGTCCGCAGATCTGGAACACTCAGGACAGGGACAGCTGTCTGGTTCATTTCTAGCTTTAGCAGAGCCCAGAGAGCACCCTGCATCGAAGCGTCCGTGTCCACAGCTCTCGGGAGGCCATCGCTCGACTCCGGATCCACCAGGGTTATTAAGACAGAGCTGGCAGGGTTCAGAGGCACACGGCTGACTGAAAGAAGCGCTGCCCACCACACGCCTGCTGGTCCTCTAAAACGGTGGCCCCAGACGTCCTGCTGTGACCAGTCACCAGAAACCGGCTCTTAATCAGGAGGCATTTCTGATCAGGTGGGTGCAGCTGGACTCAGGGTCACCACGGGTCAGAGGGGAGAGGTTAGATGCTGAGTTCCGGGACCCTCCCTAGGTCGCCTGAAGGAACATTCCCGGCGGTACTCAGCAGTGTGAACTCCTGAACGTTTTGAAGGGAGTGGAGTAGGGAAGTCAGGCCTCTTGCTTCAGCATGGGCCTTCAGGAAGCTGCTCATCCTGCAAACAGCTGAGCCCAGAAAACCCAGGCTCGGCCTCTCCCCGCCCCTACCCAGGGCTGCTTCCCAATGGTGAGCTGAAGCCCGGGTGTGGCCTCCCCGAATGCTCTTGAATCGTCTGACCAGGCCACAAGGCTGACTAGAGTCCTCGGCCTGTGGCCCCAGGTCTGTTGGAAGGCCGGCCAGACATCACACTGTTCAGAACACGACATCTGTATGAGGCAACCTGGAGTGTGACATGGTCTCATCCCAGGGCTTGGCCACAGGGTCCCTGCCATGTTGTCAATTCTCCACCCACTCCAATGACACCATATCCCCTGCAAGGCAGGGAAAAAATGCACACTTTTGAATTCCTAAACATTCAGCTTGGATTTGGTTTTTTAATAAAATTTGGTTGGGTTGAACCCAAGTGACCCGATCAAGCATCATTGCTCCTGGGATAGGTTTTTTTAAGTTCCTTCTATAGTTTATGCACTTAAATTAGATTCCTAAAATACTCTCATATACATACAGAAAAATAATCTCTCAATGAGAAATCACATTTTACTATAACAAGTTAAATATTCAGACTAGGGAATCTGTTAGGTTCACGCAACATTGAACAGCATAGCCTCTTACACACTGTATATACATATAATCGTCATTCCCAGAAACATACAGCAGAGATCTCACGACAACCACATACAGAGCACAAGCTTTTCCCATTGTGGAGTGGATTGCTGTCTTTTTCTTTGTTGCGAACTGCGTAAGATGCAGAACCCTAGGAGCTGTGAGTTGTCAGATACAGGTCATTTCCTGGAGCTCTCTCCCCTCTGCACACGTATGCACACGTATGCACACGTATGCACACCTACGCTCCCTGTCGGCACATGTGGCAGTGCAAAGCTGAAGCGCTAAGAGCACAACGCAGGCGAACCCTAGCTCACCCCCTGCATGCAGAGCCGTGCCCAGGGCAAGGACTCCGGCTCCTGCTTGTGGGCTGTGAGGACCAGATCCGAGGTTGATCTCTCAGTCCCAAGATACTTGGGGCCATTAGCGACAAATGCTCCCTTAAATGCCTGTCTAGCCACTGAGACTATTCGAGAATGTTGAGACACAGCCAAAATTCAGCAAGTAACGATTTAAGGATGTTGGCTGATGGAGTGCCTTCCAAAATGCTCATTAAAATGGGTGCTGACATGGTAGTAGCCCGATGCCTCCTCAGAGTGCAGCCCATGGAAACAATTTGCTTTCATTTAAGGTGACTTAAGTCCGTGGCAGACAGGCCTTCTGTCAGTCAGTTTTCTCTTCCTCAGTTTTTTGTGATTATTTTTTTAGTTTTGAGATAGGGTCTCATGAAGCCCAGATGACCTTGAGCTCATCTACAGCTGGAGTTGACCTTAAGTTTCTCCCTCCATCTCTGGATTGCTGGGTTTGCAGGAGTGGAATCAGGGAACCCCAG